GGGGAGGGGAAGACGAAAGATTCATCGTCCCCACCCTCCCGCATCCGCTTATGGTATCAACCTACCGAAACATTCAAAGCAGTCTCTCACCCAACAGCTGAATCAAATGCCCTGGTGAATACCCTGTTCTATCTCCCTAGTTTCCAAACCTACAGGCCAACCTTCCCCTCCTGTAATCTGCGTCATCCCCAGCACTTTTGACTCTCTGACTGGAGTTTGCTCCTCGAACTCAATACCACCCCTCACACAACAGTAAAACGGCGCTCAGCCTTCATAAAAGCAAACAGATACTTATTCTGTCGCAGTATAACAGTGGAAATGCCACAGTCAAGCATTCAGTACGCGCGGTTGCGCTTGTAAAATGACTTGCCAATTTATGATAAGTGGACAGGGATGCCCGTCAAAAAGATTTATTTCGCAATTACGAATAATCGAAAGTGTCAATTAAACAGCGAAATACATAAAAACTCCCGAATCGCCCATTTTCACTGCCAAATTATTTGCCAAACTTCAGTTATCGGTGCAATTAGTTGTTCGGTCTGAAAGAAAAAAACTTTACTTGCTTTATAAACGTAACAAATGGCATACATTGACGTACTAAAACGGATGAAAGAAACGCATTTACACAGAAACAGACCTTGTCCACTCGACTTTGAGCACGAGATGGTCGAGCTTGTATCCGTTCAGTTTCTGTATCGCAGCCTCTGTTTGACTGCGATGATCGAATGTGACGAAGGCAAATCCCTTTGGCTTGTTGGTGTGCTTGTCTTTCGCAATGAACACCCGATTCACTGTTCCCACTGTACTGAACAGTGCACGCAATTCCTAAAAATTTCTTGCTTTTTTCATTTTAAGATAGGTTGATAGTTCAGTTGTGAATCTGCAGGCGACGCATATGAGAAACACAATAAAAACGGCGTTGAATTCCCCTTCGAAAGAATGCTTTGGAAACACAGGAAATAAGGCGAAGAATTAATCGATACAGAGAAGCTGGCAAGTAATTCAACACACAATAGCTAGCAAGAAAGCCGAAATAAGAAAAGCAGCAAATATGCAACAGCCTGTTGCTACATCTCAAAAATACCGCCTTTATACTGGACACACTATATCTAACACAATAAATGTAATTCTAATTCGTTCGCCAAAGAGGTAAAAAAGCCATGAACTCAAAGTGGACGAGTGTTAGAGAAATATGGGAACGAATTTCCATAAAATTTTGGAAGCATCACATTTTGGAGTTACGAATCGCTCTTTTTTTTTGAAATATTCAAAAATTAGCACAAAGACATGCATCGAAATAAATTTTTGGCAGTGATAACCTATTGCTCGTTATATTCCGTTCCCCGGTACTCTACTTTTTATCGCCTTCAGACACATGCCTCAACAGAAAATCCTCAGCAGCTGCATAGTTATGTAGGTATAGATGATGTATTACATGCGATGGGAAAAGGTGCCCAGAGAAGTTGCGTTAGTTCCGCACTAAAGCTTACGTGTTCGATTCTACCAGTAGGATAACCAGTTCCTCTACGAACCGTTTATTCGTTTCGATGGCATACTGGTACCCACACACGCCAAACAGTAAAGTAAAAGGCAGTACGAGCCGTAAAGGCCCTGCAGGCAAAAGGAAAAGGCTAGTAACTGAGAAGCAGGAACAGCGGGCCATTCAGTGAAGGGTAAAGACCGGCAAGACCGGCAGCAGCTTCAGAGGACATAATCAGCAGCAGTCTCAGAGGACAAAACTTCGGGAAAGGACCGACCTACAAACTGTCAAGGAATGGGGCGTTCTTGACACGTTCTACTACCATTGGCGAATGCAGGGCAGTGGGGGTATTTCGCCTTCCCCCTCCCCTGGTCATTGCCTCAGTTTACGGTCGACTAGGGAGGGAGGTAGTAAGGCCTCCGATGTAGTGACAAGGAGGAGGGGAGGGAAATCGGCCAAGCCGCTCCCCACTCCCCTCCAAGAAACCACCCTAGATCCGCCTATGGCTACTACTCAGGTTACTTGTGAGCTCCTCCATCTTTCGTAGACGATAAGCTGTAGGAAAGATTTTGATTTTGACGGCCTACACAAACGAACTTCCAGAAAAGTAAACTAAGGGGTAAAAATAGCTGAAAAATTTTCTTCCGAATGCAAATCTAGAAAAACAAACTAACAAACCTGTTCGTCACATTCCTCAGGTAAGTTCGTAACTCGGCATGTGTTTTCTTCCGATCTCCTTTCTGGGCCGCCGGTAAGTGCTGGTCGATCGCCACGCATTCCCGGTGCCACATATTTCCCTGAGCCAGGAACCGACGGTCCGAGTTTGGTGTCCTTCTCTTTGTTTTCTGCATCGTCGTCGTCATCTTTCGCATACATCGACTTATACGGACAACTCACCGACCAGTGGTCATCCGACTGGAATATTTCTCGAATAGATTCATTTTTAAATCGTTTTCTTGTAACAATCAAAAAATGATGTAAAACTTAACAAAAAAAATGTGACTACCAATGCTTCCCAGCTTTAGATCTTAATGGAATTTTCAAAA